TAGCTGGTCACGTGGTGTTACTCACCTCTCGTAACCCCCTGTACACTACACGACGCTCGGCGCAAAACTCGCCCCGATCTCGTGGATTCTCCACGAGTGGGAAATCGGCTCAAAAAAGTGAAAAAGTCGCACAGTGTACGCCCGGCTTAACACTCACATGCACCATTTGAATATAGAAAGGCAGCTGAGATGGCAGTGGATTCCAAGCCTGAATCATACACTTTATAACCATTCAGCTAGCCAATAGCATTTTAATTCTACATTCAATTCAATTCAAGTTTATTTATATAGCGCCAAATCATGACAAGAGTCATCTCAAGGCACTTCAAATGACAAAATAATGATAAACTACCCTCACTTGTATAGCGCCTCTCAGAGTAAGGACTCCAAAGCGCTTTACACTACAGTGTATCATTCATCCATTCACACACACATTCACACACTGATGCAATTAGTGACATTTTGGCATGAAGATAAAGAGGAAAACATTCACATAGTAAACATTTCAATACAGGTCAGTTCATTAAGCCAATCAATTAAAAGTTTCCTATACAAAGAATCCAGCAAATTGCATCAAGTCACTGACTAGTGTCAGACAGTGACTTTACAACAATCCTCATACTAAGCAAGCATTTAGCAACAGTGGAGAGGACAACTCCCTTTTAACAGGAAGAAACCTCCAGAGGATCCCGGCTCAGTATAAGCAGCCATCCACCACGACTCACTGGGGATCAAGAAGACAGAGCAGACACACACAAACGCCAACCCCCCTCTCTAAACCCCCCTCTACACATTGATATCGGTATCAGCAGCTGAAAAACCCACATCGATCAACCTCTAGCTCAAATGTAAACAAAACAAACGAGAACTCAGAACTGAGTGCATTAGCTTCATCTGATGTAATTTGCATTGCTTATTTCAGTCAGACCAGCTAAGGTTATGTGCAAAAATCCCTCTGAGTCGTTTTCAAACACTGCTCTGTATGTTCATGACTGGCACACAATACACAGAAGGCCTCAGTGTTTACTGTGTGTATCGTCCTACATGGCCACTCCAATAATCAGTACAATGAGCGTCAACACCATGGCGTTCACTTATTACAAGGTTCAGCAAATATTACAGCTACTTGTCATAGTCAAAGCCAGTCATTACCACAAAGAGGATTCTTCAGCTAATTATCACTCCTCGCAGATTATACCAGAACTTGAAGGTGTCAAGTCTCTCACATAAAGCAACTATCTCACAGTGAACAGGCAATGACACGAGAAGAGGCTAAAATAAAACCCACACTATAGGATTGGAGCTGTTTGCAAAATCATGGCGGAAATAATCAAAGACAAGAAATAGACTTAAAGACATTGTAGTTTGCCTTGGTAAGATAAAATGACATTAGAGGTAATGAGAGGATGAGCAAGACAAATGCTGCAGGGACAAACAGTGAAATGGTTCCTTTCTAGGAAGACAGTGGTGGAAATGAATAGGTCTAAATCAACAACAACTACGGCTGTAACGATTCACTCAAGCCACGATTCGATTCCCAACTTTAAGTTCACAACTCCGATTTTTGTCTTTAAGGTATTTCGTACACCCTTTACATTTGTAAACACTGACAAGCCAAAAAGCTGCAACACTGTTGACTTCAAATTGATTGGAGCATCCACCATCTCGAAGTTGCTTGCTGTAGCCATGCTTGCGTCTTGTGGTGCGACTCAAGAAAAATCTCACGGTTTGGACTCTATCGTGGTTTTCAGTCATGGAACGGGTCGTTTTCGGATCAGCAGAAAGAAAAAGAACAGAAAAAACAAAAAGCTTTCCTCTCTCTTTACTTTGTAGAACACTTAGTGCAAAATGTTCTGCTCAATGTGTTACTTGCTATAAAAGCAGGAGAGAAGTCTGATTGCTGATTAGTTGTTAGAACGGCTTGACCTACATAGACACGCTCTGCGTGTCCTCCTGCTTTCACTTGACATCTCCTCACCTTGCTGATGCACCGTTCATTTTTCTTTCGTCCTCTTTTACAGATTAGTCCCCAACAATATTTACAAGTCTTAACACGTTTATGTGACAATTGTCCAAGACATGTTTTGCGCACCACCCCTCTCCTTTCCAACAATCAGAGGTGTGTGTGCGTGCAGCGCTGCGCCTTCAGACTGAAGGCGCGTGCTAAACTTTTGATCATTATTGTATCTTACAGGGGAGCCTAAATGCTCCCATACATGCAACTTAAATGATGCAGGAGGTTTGTCAAGCTCCTCTCCTCCTCCTCCGCTATAACCACTGCTGTGTGTTTCTGCTTTGGATAACAGGTAGCACCTACACCCTCCACGTGACTGATCCACAAACCAATCCGTACTGATTACAGAACATTAATAATAATAATAATAATAATAATAATAATTTGTTGCAATCCTACTTGCCTCTGTTCTGATTAGCAGCACTTTGGCGAAAGCAAGCTTGCCATTTTACGTAATATTTGTGGCTGTTGTGAATCAGTTTTGCTTTTTTTCAACCATGGTGGATATTTATAGCCTAGTGAGCTAGACCAAATTCTTGCTTTGCAAAGTTTGGTCTAGGCATGCTACATTGGAACCTCCGCAGCTCCTACCAGGACTCTGGCTAGCCAATCACAGCTCTCTAGAGGGGTTTCAAACACATAAAGAGCTGTGATTGGTCCATAATGGTGGGCCAATCATAGTGCTCTATCTGCTTAGTGAACAAATCACAGAGCTTTATCCGCTTTGTGGGCCAATCAGGGCACTCTATATGCCTGGTGGGTGGGATGATGCAACAGAGTGAAACAAGAGTATGTCACATTCATTGTCCAGTGGAATGCGGAGATCATTTGAAAGACAACGGTAGAACCCGCCCCACAACCGAGAGCCGTCAATGGAGCGTGGCCAGACTAAATAATACATTTATTTAGTCTGGCTTGCCAGGCTAGGATATTTAAACTAGTTTGCACCAATTTTAAATCAATTCTCGGAGCATTATTACGTCCCCAACAACAACCTGTAATTGTTTAACAGTATTGTTTCTTTTTGATGCCGTTCTTATTCCTGAAATCATAATCATACTTGTAGCAAAGGTTTTAATGCTGTGCCTCAATCACATTGAGGCACAGCATTGGGTCAGTGTGAGAAAGCACCCAGCTGGACCAACGACTGAACCGCTGTGTGTCGACAAGCCTTGGAAACAAAGACAACCTTTCAGCCTTTCTCCTTTTTCTTCCCTCCCTCTATATTTTCCTGAGTCAATTTTTGTCTAAAATACGCTATATTAAATAAACACTGATTGAGAACTAGGACCAAGCGAAAAACAACCGCTTGTGTTGAAGCCTATTTTCCATTAGAACCATCCATAAGCTAATCTGTTGGCTCTACTGATACTTGCCAACGTGATTGTCCGTTCCTGCCACCTGTGCAGTTCTGCCTAGGCTGTAGTTTTATACATATTTTTTGTATACTTACTGTAAAGAACCACCCCGGTCCTCATGCCGTTGTGCCCCCCCCACTTCTAAAGTTTAAACTACGTTCATGGTCACTGCAGCGGTCAAGTTTGGGTTGCTAGCAGTTTGTAAACGCATCATGATGACTGAATAAAAGCCAAGAAGCTACAAGTAGTGAAGATGTTGGAATTTGTTTTTTTTTTATTTAAATGTTGTAAGAAAGATTCTTCCTGCAAACAAATCTTGTACTGTTGTTTTCTTGTGCCTTTCCATGTCAAAAACAAAAACTTGAATCATCACAGCAAATGCTGTAGCTCTGAAAGAGCAAAAAAAAAAAAAAATCTCAATAAGATAAATAAAACACTCCCAATTAGGTTTTCTAGAGCTGAACATTTTAGAGTGCATCATCTTCTCAGTCAGTCATTTAGATAAAAGCCAGAGAACACGGTTCTTGTAGCAATATTCTGAAGCTACTGCCAATTCCAGATTTAGCTGGATACCATAGTGGTAAAAATATCCAACAGATGGGATGTTCTCATGCAAATGTGGTGAGGAAATGAACACAACTAAAGATTTCTGTAAAGTAGAACAGCAGTTACAGTTGTCTTTGCCTTCTTTGTGGTAGGTAAATCTGGAAGAGTGTATCCGCTCTAACATCATGATCTTTGTGACGAAAAAAGTATTCATCACATCAGCGTAGGTGTAACGGAGTTGAAAAATTAAAATAAAAAACCGACACCAAGAGGGTGATTACTAGAGTCACCAAATATTTCCGTTGGACCATCAGTGTCTTATTAGTGTAAGTGTGGCACTGCGATCAAGGCTTTACAAGACAGAACTGATAAACAGCAAAAACAAATGCTGAGAAGTGGATGAGTTGAGGAACTTGTGCAATCAGAAAAACAAACAAGCCTTGACATTTCATGTGGTTTCATCGATGCCGCAGTTACAAAAAATTCTTCATGCTGACTAAAACCAAAGACAGAAAATGTTTCACAGGTCTTGTGTGAGCTTATTAAATAAACTGCTGGTTTTAGACATACTGACTGAGAGAAACTAGGAATGAGAATTCAGAACGATGTTCTGCTTTTAGAAAAAATGTTTGGGTTTTTCTGAAGTGCTGAACTTCATAAAACTGTGTAGATTTCAATTTTACAACACACAAAATAAGCTTCAGCGCTTCTTTAAAACAAAGCTAAAGTCTGTTTTTACCTTCTTTTTAACTATTCTTCCCAAAAAAATAATCCCAATACTGGTTCAAATATAATCTAATCTTAGTTCTTCACCACTGATAAACAAAGGCTGAGCATCATGGTCATGAGGCCATGTGAGAAAAGTGGGGATGGATCCGATTCACTTCCTGTTTCGTAGGTCAAAGCAGAGAGTTGCATTCCGAGACACGGCTGCATTTTCCTATTTAACCACTTTGAAAAAGCAGAATTCATGTTTGTGAAGCTGTGTTTGTCAGATGAGCTGTAGGTGTGCATCAGTACAAGTCATTTACAGAGTCAATGTTACAACACCAACCATTTTGCTTCAGCATATAAGTACTTACCAATTTGATGGCCACATATTCATTAGTATAGAGGTTTTTTCCAAGCCGAAGCTCTCCAAAGTTACCGCAGCCAATTTTTTTACCGACACGGAAGTTTGGGCCAACCATAAGAACTCCTGAATTGGTGCCCGAACCCCTGCCATGTCCAGTCCTGCCGCCTGCTGTCTTAGACATCTTTTTCCCTTCCTCTGTCTCTCCCTTGCCCCCTCTCTTGTCAAAATCCATAAGCTTGTGATACCCTGGCTTCTCCACGGTTATTCTCCAGCCATGCAAACCATAGAAACTCCAGTAACAGCGATGGAGGGTGTGGTAGGGAGGGGATGGGAGACAAATCTCATAGGACAGAGGAAAGGTGTTACTGCTAAAATGTGCAGAGGACACTTAAATGAGCCAACAGTGCAGCAGAGGTGTCCTACGTGTCAATCATGCAGCCTTATTTCCTTTTCTTCTTTGCGTTTGCCGTTTAAAAGTGATGACTGTCTGTGTGGGCTTCTAAAAATCAGTCCCAGAGTAGTTTGTCCCCGGCTGAAGGTAATGGCAGGTTGCACTAAGGTGTTCCCACTGACAAACATACAACGCTTGTTATGGAAAAGCACTCCGGCACACAGCTACTGCATCCACAAGGCCACTTGGGAACATCATCTGGAGTGCCTCCTTCCTTCTGGTCAGCCTTCATTTACACATTGGAAACTCTTCATGTTGCAGGGCCACGGCAGGAGGCAATCCAGCATTTGAGAAAGGGCCGAACAGGTTATGGATTGGTTTGATGACAACGAGTAATCTGCAAAAGTAAAAACAATACAATTAGTTTATAGGCTATGATTATGTGACAGTAGCCTTGATCAGTCACACATGAAATTACTAGCTTATTCTTACAAGATCCATCCAACATGTTTTTGTAATAAATAACACAAAAAAAACCGAGTGTGTGATTATTAAAAATGTGGAAGCACTCCATTTACTTTGGTAAAAATAAATCATGTAAAATATTTACACAAAAATATGGCAATGAATTGGTTGTTGTCAACATCACCTTATGAAAACTGAGCACTTTTGTTTTTTTAAATGGCAAAAATAACATCAATATTCTGTAAAACATGACACACCTATCAAGAGACAATCAGAGAGAAAATACTAATAAAACAATCTGTTTCCATGTCACTTAAAGGCAAATGAGAGGCAATTTTTTTCTAGAAAAAGTAACAGATTTAAACCTTTTGTATGAATATCAAATTATGCAGAGTATGGCTGATTCATACTACTGCTGAAATAGGATCTTGAAGCCTACTGGTGCAAAGCAAATTCAATAAGGCAATCAATAGGACCAGAGGTTTTGTACAGAAGACCTGAGACACTGGAGAAAACATCTCTTTTGCATGTAAACCTATAGTGTAAAAGCACAAATAAATGTAGGAACCTCACAAGAATTCACACTTAATGTCAATAAAGACTGATGATGCGACATGTTTGTTTCCACCATAGGCAATTTTTGAAAATACTGAAGGTTCTCAGACAAATGGAGGATCAGGACAAGAAGAGAGGGAAAAAAAAGACCTGCAAACTTTTGAAAACTTTTCCACTGTCAAATGTTTCACATCAAATACAATAAATGTTACTAAACTACTTATAAATGATCACATCAACAAAACCAGGATAAAACATCAAACATAATTTGGTCCATCTCTTTTCAGCTTATCATGACGTCTCTAAACAAAGCCACTCATTTCCTTATGTCTACAATCCAAGATGCTTCTAATGCAAAAGGCAGCAGGTAGTGCAGGCGATAGCTACAAGCAGCTTCTCTTTATGGAAAGGCACTTACACAGATCAATGACTGCCATAATGCCTCATCTCATCACACAATTCGCATCACTGGAACTCATTGGATAGTCTAGTCTACAGATAACCAGGTTATATCTGTCAAAAGAACACTTTCAGGGTGGAAAACAGAACTGTAACTTAGATTTGCTGAAGATGATTGGGCTATGTTGTAAAACATTCAACATGAATTATATGTAGTACATTTGCGATTTTAATCTGTTTGGTCCATTTATTCCAAGTCATCGAGCTTTATTACAATTACTGTTGTTACTGTCAAGGTGTCTTCTGAGTAAACAATATTGGCCATACGAGCAATCCACAGGAAATCTGTAAGTGTGAATGCCAAGCATTTTTTTTATTACTGCTGTGCACACACACAAAAGAATCAACCTACAAATCAAGCGTGCAATCAGTCAATACACTGCATCACCCTCCATTTTGAGTGACACACACCAGTGTTTAAGAAGAAGAAAATATCATTTAGGAAATGAAATACTTGATGATGGCAATAGGTATTTTTTAAAGAGTTGAAAAGATTAAAATATAACAAATTAAAAAACATTAATGAATTAAATTGCTATATTTAAAAATTAGTGTAAGAAAACGTGAAACAAAATGAATTGGATTAGTAAAAAAAAGAAAAGAAAATCTTCAATGTTCACTCACTTTTAGAGTAGTCTAGCATTAGTAAAAGCCATTGGACATTACATTTTTAGTCATTTAAAAAAGATTGCTTAGGTGGCACAGTATGTATGAGTAAACCAAGGTCTTTGAATGGAATTTCTATAGGCCATACATACAGTCAGGTCCATAAATATTGGGACATCGACACAATGCTAACATTTTTGGCTCTATACAAATTTGATTCAATTCAAAAATACTTTAATCCCAGAGGGAAATTGATTGCTGTGGATCCACAGTGGATACACAACCACAATGGATTTCAAATGAAACGAACAAGATGTGCTTTAACTGCAGACTGTCAGCTTTTATTTGAGAGTATTTACATCCAAATCAAGTGAACGGTGTAGGAATTATAACAGTTTGCCAGGATTACCAATATGTACATTTTAAAGGGCTCTTTACAACCATTGTATAGTGTGTAGGGTTGTCACGGTAACCGGTGTAGCGTTAAACCCCGGAAAAAAAGTTGACAATAATAATAACCGTCTTGTTTTTAAAAAAACTATATTATCTCGGTGGGTTTACCGTGGCTGCGGTGTAGGCACGGTGACCCTTACCAGCCACCGTACCATCTGCTGAAGTTGCCGGCGGCACATGCGCACTTTGTTTACAACTAAAACTTTCTTGAAGCTAAAGCTGAAAAAATGGCCAAAGGAGGAGACAGCAGCGCACAGGAGATCATTTTTTATCCCTCAAAGAAGACAAAGTGGGAAGTACGGGCATCTTTTGGATATTTGGAGAATGCCGAGGGACAGTTGATAGAAGACAGCTATCCTGTTTGCAGCACGTGCAGAAAAAGTGTCTGTGAAAGGCAGCAATGCTTCAAATCTTATGACACATCTGCGTGACCATCACCCACAACTCTACAGTCAAGGCAAGCTAACGTTAGCCTTTTAGCTAAAATGCGCGATCCGAGGATTTGGGTTGAGGGAGAATGCAACAAGTCGCTATATAAAGCAGCCGCAGCGCAGCTACCTGCATATAAACCGTGTCGCGGACACCCCCATTGAAATGACGCTATGCATTACGGGGCTCCCAGGGGCAGATAAGAGTTGGTCTCTCTCCGAGAATAATTATGAATTTAACAATGATTACTGCCTGATGACATTTTCCCACATCTGCAAAGGTCACTGGAAGGACACAAACCGAGGACAACATTTTCCTGATATAGGGTTTATTACTCAAGGGTAAAAAAGTATCTGATTAGAAGGCTACTTGAGTACTGAGTATCATCTGATCTAATATTTTTAAAATGATGACATCAAACAGACAAAAAATAAGAAGTTATGGGCAAATATTGGTATTTTAAAGACTAAAGGGAAAAAATGTAAACAAATAAACAACATAATTACAAAATAACACATTTTAGGCTAAATTTAGACACAAACTGAGGACAATATTTCCTGACATACAGGGTTTATTTAATTGTGTGAAAATGTAGCACGTTTAAAAAAAATACCGCAATAATACCGAAAACCGTGGTAATTTTGGTCACTATAACCGTGAGGTTAAATTTTCACTCCGTGACAACCCTAATAGTGTGTAAATACACATTAACAAAATGCTGGAAGTAAATATGCAATGCTTCACTCAGCTGTATTATCATTTCTTTCATTCTGACTTTTCTGATTCTTGCTACTCATCATAAAATAATCTTAATCATAAAACTGAATCCTGCTCCTAAATTTCACAAAGCAATATTCAACATGTTAGCAATAGTGCAAAACCATATTTAGTTCTAATTTTGTCTCAACTATATTGAAATTGCAGGTGTATCCACATTGGTGTATTTAATTAGTTACACCATGCAATTTGAGGTGCTCTAGTAGTGTTCTGGACCTGGTTCTGGAAATGATCTGGTCTCAAGGCTTGCTCTCTGTAAAAAGATCTGGTTCAACAGAAAACCCTGGCCTCAAACCACCTTTGGTGATGCTCGAGTCAAAAGCAGAAAATATATGAGACATCATTTCTCAAGGTAAACCAAAAAGTAGCAGTCCAACAACTGAAGTGCCATAGATGCCGCCTGTAAGCAAATACTGTAATACCCTGTCTTTAGTAAAGTTTAGCCCTCATGTCTAATCATATCAAGAAGTTGCCCACTTTGTTGCCAGCTGTTTGGAATCAATTTGTTTAAAATGTAATAAGTAGAAAGTAATAGGTTTTCAAATTCTGGTGCAGCTTTAAAAAAAGTACAAAGAAATTATTTAATCAATAATATTTCCCCAAACCTACATTTTGAAGTTGGAATGGGTCTGGATGCTACATTTGTAAAGCTAGCTGTAGGGGAACGCAAAACTCCCAACAAATCGAATACAAATCCAGAAATAAACAAAAAGTGATAATAAATAGTAGAGAGCAAAACCGATGACCAAGTTTCCTCTTTTTTTGTGTGTGGTGCTAACACCCGTCTTTAAGCCGTGTTGGTAACAGCTAACAAGCTACTAACAGTGTTCTCGTTTAGCATGAATTTTCGGAGATCCGAACGAATCGCTGGCTCTGAACTTTTATTAACACGTGTGCTATTTAATAAAACTAACCACACAGTAAAAACATATTTCGAACAAATGCGGTCAAAGGGGCTCTGGAGAGAAGAAAAAAGCTGGCGTTAGCGACGGACAAGGCCGGATAGTCAGAGCTAGCACCAACAAACACCGTCCCTTTTGGCCTAGCGGCTAATATGAAAAACAGTTAGCTACATTTAACGTTATCTAATCCGTTAACGATCTTGTAGGCAAAAACACAGCCTACCTAAATGTTTGCTGAAGTAAATACGATGAAGCAAGACAAAACATAAAAAATTAATTGAATGACATAACCGATGCTACCAGGCTAGTAAGTAAATGCTTAATAACTGGAAAAATATAACCGTCCCAACAATGTCGTCACAAATATTATCGAGCGGCGATTCGAAAGAATAGAAAAGTTAATGGATTTACCTGGAATTTTTGTTTTATAGCTCAGATTCCAGCTACAGTCGCCACCCAGACCACTTCCAGTGTTATGCCGAAAAAAAGCACCCCTACCGCGGAAAACACCCCCGTCACAGGAAGTGCATTTCAAAGTGCTTCTTTTTCTTAAACAGAGTAAAAGTAATGTTTAAACTCTTTTTTGTTTTTCATTGCCCCTAAAAGATACCCGTGTTAAATTATGTTATTTTTAAACTGAACGAGTGTGATTTTATGTTAAATTATGTTGTGAGGAGATCGTTTTCAAGTATTTCGGATCAGGACAGCCCTTAAATTCACACTACCATTGTTGTTCCATGCAACACTCAAAACATATTTCACGTTATAAATATTTCATCATGATAAGGAGAACACAGTCCTGTGTCAAGCATATCATCAACGGTGTACATTTATGGAAACAAATAAAATAAAACTGTAAAATAGACCATTTTTGATAGGCCATTTTCGGGTACAGAAAACCACAAGTCAGTTTTTCACTTTTTTTCTACTAGTTACTTTTAGTTAACAAACTGCCTTCAAATGTGCTTAAGAGTGCTGTGTCAAGGGGTGCTTTTTTCAACACAACACCGGGCGACTCCTTAATCCTACCGCCGACAGCACACTAGCGACAACCTGGACCCAGTACTAGCCATTAGCAAGCTAGCACACGAAACATCAACGACACGGTCCAAACACGGAGATATGCTGTAATCTCCTTTAGTCGTCAAAATACAGCATATTACCCTGAAATGTTTGTTAGCTATCGAAACGTCGTCCGAATCTTCATGGTTCTTCGAACATGAAATTATTTCCCGTTTGGCTTCTTCTCTTATCCTCAAGTTGCTATAATTTCGCTGTGGTCTCTTTAAGCCTCTCTCAACCTCGCAGCGTCACGCTGATTCACTTTGAGCTGCGTAGGAAAGCCGGCGCAACTGGTTTGGTGGATATGACACAACATCAGGCGAGCGTGCGTATTACCCGGTAGTACCCCCGAAGAGGGAAGAGCTGCTCGAAACTGGTTTGAGTTTAGTTGACAAGCGTTTACCTTCCGTTGAACTGAAACCAAGGCAGTCTCGCGAGACTTGAAAGTCTAAACGCTGCACTAGCGAGATTTGCCTTTTACATCTAAAACTTTGTGAATGTTCACATTTTAAAAAATCATAAAGTGCTTAAACGAATAAATAAGTAAATACAAACACAAAACAATCCTAAATAGTATTAAAAGTAAAAAATAACATTATTCGATTTTATAAGATGTAAACAAATAAAATAAAAGCCTTTTAAAATAAACTGCCATAAAAAAGTTCTCACACAGAAATAAAATAAACAGCCCCAACATTTACTGTTACGTAAGCTTTAATCTAACATTAAATGAGTACACACCATTCAAGTTATAGTTTTGTAAATTAGCACATTTTTCTCAAATGCCACTGCGTTATTTTGTTATTTCTTAGTTATTATATAATCAATAACAAACTGGTGAATCAGACAAACCGAATGTTTGTTTTATATTACAGAATTTCTGATCCTGACATATGCATGTAAATCTTTTTTTTTCCTCTAGTGACCACTTCAATTTTAAAAATAGAAACATTTTTGTTGAAAAGAACAACTTTTTCACAACAAAAATTCTAAATTTGTTGCAAGACTTGAATGATTTACAGAAATAGAAGTGCAAAAAAGTTTTTCCATGCATCCATGTTGAGGTGCTGAGGCAGAATAAGAATCCTTTCCCAAGTACTTTTAACAATTTCTGTCTGAAACATCGTATATTGGTCAATCCGGTGTCGGTACAGGATCTGCTCGGGTGCAGGATCGGCTCGGGGTCCTTCGACTGCCGATGACATCAAAGTAGTTGATTGGCTGAACATGAAGCTTACGGAAGTGACGTTATCACGTTATGATTTTGATTGGTCAGAACAAATTTGCGGCCGTAGTCTTAGCGGTTGTGGTCCTGTAGTCCAAAAATCAACACTTTTTGGAGAAAACATGTTTGAATTTCTAAAGGAAATGTAAAATATAAGCAAATGGTAAACGGTGACCCCCAAAAGCTCTTGATGTTGATGAAATGGGGCAAAATGAAATCTAAGAACTTTATTGAAAGACACCAAGGAATATTTTGAGTCAAAGAATGTATTTAGATAACAACTAAGGAAATATACAGACGAGCTCCACATTAATACAAACAGATATGGCTTCACATATAAGAACTGTTCTATATTTTGTCAGTCCGATGTTGGTTTTATGCAGTTTCACATTCTTTACAAAACAAAGATAATGTGGTGTTTTATTAACAAATTACAATTATAAAGAAAACATTTTTGTTAACAAACAAGAATTTATTAACAAAACTGCTGATGTCTTTCCAAAACGTGTGTGTGAAAGCCGAGTAGATTTGCAGTAATGTGACGTCATCGGCAGTCGAAGGACCCCGAGCCGATCCTGCACCCGAGCCGATCCTGTACCGACACCGGCTAAACAATGCAGGAAAAAAATCTAAATGTGTAAATGTTGCTACCTGTTGAATGATTAAAAAACACATACAAGACAGGGAGGAAAAAACATTAGTGAAGGCAGAAAAACTGTTTTATTTATCTGAAGCAAATATTCTGTTTAAAATTCCTTCAGATAAACTAAAATGTACATTCTGTGGACTGCTAGTGCTGCATATTCCACATGGAGCAGATTTCTGAAGGCGAAATTTGATTCTGGCTACAGCCCTAAGTGAGGGTGACACACCACTTTACTGGAGGATGTGGTCTGAAAGGAGTGGCTGCAGTTTTTGGATGAAGGATCTCTCCAGATGGAACCGTGCTGTTGCATGATGGGCCAGAACAGCGGGGGGAGGGCGAGCTCAGTAGACAGAACCGTCTGATGAGGTAGTCGGTAGGTCTCCACTGCCATGAAGGGAGGAATTGGAGGAGAGTGGACGCTGAGGGTGCATGGTGTCAGAGTGTCAGAGTCTGAGTCCTTGGCTTTATCATCACAAGCTGCTGGAGGAGGACAGAAAAGAAGAGGGGTGATGATGTCCTGTTTGTCTTCTGTCCTGACTTCCTCCTGTCCCACCTTACAGTCAGGTGAAGCTTTCTCCCTACTCATGTCTCTTGAGAGCGGGGATCCTCTCTGACCTTTACGAAACTTGGCCCTCCGGTTCTTGAACCATACCTGTATATGGAGGAGTAAAGGCAAAGTTTAAGTGATTAACAAACTTTACAGGTTAAATAAAATAAGGCTTATGCACAATTAGCAGCAGGTTTATGACAAAACCGCAAAGGAGGAAACTAATCAAACGTGAGTCAAGTGATGGGTGGAGTGAGCCGTCACCTGAATGCGAGCCTCTGGTAAGTTGATGCACACGGCCAGCCTCTCCCTCATGCTAACGTCTGGGTACTGTGTTTGCTGGAAGGCCTTTTCTAGAGCCTGCAGCTGGGACACCGTGAAGGCTGTACGGCTGCGTCGCTGCTTCTGCTGGTTACCATAACGGGCCTCAAGGATCAACTCTGACAGGAAAAAATAACTTTAATCAGAAGCTCCCAATCAACAGAGGGATCGGGTTTGTTTGGATTTAGGAATGTGGTGGGTCCGCTCTCTTAACATGAACACTAAATCCTGAAATAGAATTAAAATGACTATCTGCCTCAGATGAAATAAATGCAATATGAATGCTGCTGGTGGTCAGTAAAGTAGATTTTTACATACAAATACCATTTTAAATATTTACATAAGTGGAAAATGCATTGATGTGTTTGTTAAGACAGTTTCACTGCTCACGAAATAGAAAATCTTCTTAAATAACTGTATTTACAGATTAATGATTCCTGATAGATTACGAAAAGCCTCATCAGGATTAATTTTTCTGATTCTCACAGCTCAAGAATAAACGTGGTAATTAATGAACACAGAAATCAGCAAGAATAGCAATTAAAACTTGATATGGCGTGTTATAAGTGTTTTGTGCTTTGGGTTGATAAACTACCTGCAAGCCTCTCTGCCACAGAGAAGGAGTGGGTCGCAAGAGGAGCAGAGTAGGAGTGGTGCTCTTCCGCCACCTGGTGGCGCAGGTCGAACAGCAGTGGGTTCACTCCGTGGAGGGAATAAACTCCACCACCAAACGTCCCACACAAACTAATGGAGTTCATTCTGAATAATAAAAAAATACTTTTAATAAGTTTATTTGCTCTGGACTTCTAGAACGACATAAAGCCCTGTCCTAATCCCCCCAAAACACAGACAACAGCTGAAAGCAACGAGAATATGGTGCAAAAGTTTGTTTATTTTATGTAATTCTACTCAAAAGGTGAAACTAATAAATGAGACTGACTCATTACATGCAAACCCAGATATTTCAAGCCTTTATTTGTTATCACGGTGATGATCATGGCTTACAGCTAATGAAAACCCCACATTTAAAATTGCAGACAAGAATATTGTGAACAGGTTCAATATTCTAGACTCAAAATGTCACACTCTGACCAGCTAATGAACTTTAAAACAGCTGCAAAAGGTTCCTGAGCCTTTAGATGGTCTCTCACTCCAGCTGAATTATTGTCATAAATTAACTTTTGCTCCGTATTCTCATTCTTCCACTTTTATGGAACTCTCTCCCCCAACATTGTCGCACTGCTGACTCATTTCATACATTCAAAAAAAAAAAAAAAACTCCTGAAAACTTGCCTGTTTAATCAAGCATTTAAAGCCTGTTAATTTATTTTACTGTCTCCTTCTCTCTGATTGTAAAGCGTCTTTGAGTAGTGGTTAAATGCGCTATATACAACCTATGCATTATTGTTATTATTATTATTATCATTATTATTATTATTATTTTACCAGTTGTTTGATACAATTTAAGCACAAAATAATCTGAGGAAAATACCACGTTTGTTCTCTTTGACTACGTTTGTAGACAAGTTGGCTTATTTGAGAGGAAATAATAATAATAATAATAATAATAATAATAATAATAATACATATTCATACAAGTTACAGTAACACTTTGCAATAACAGTCCCTTTATTAATGTTGCTTAGTGCATCATTAATCATTAATAAACTATTAAATGATCCTTTGTCCTAACCTTAAGAACACTTAATAGTTAACAATGGTTAACGGTAACGTTACTATTATTTTAAACACACTAATCCTTGCTAACCCTTTTTTAACAACAACAACAAATCCGCGTTTCAAGCAGCAAAACTAAAAGTGTTTTGTCCCGTTCATCAGAAGGAAATGACCAGGTATTCTGCTCCTGAAATCCCTGCACTCGCAGGGTGAGTTTATCGGTCTGTTTACCTGAGATCCAGGTGAGTTTCTGCGTGCATGAGACAACGTGCAGTCCCGTGTCCACCCGGTCCAGTTTGGGGCCTTAGCTCCTCGCGCAGCCGCAGCAGATCTGTTTTTGTGAACCCATTCTCACCCTGGACTATTTAAACCCCGTTTACCCCGGCTCCCTTCAGCCATTAGCCAATAGAAGGAAAGGTATTAGCCGGGATTAGGTGGGATGAGGGGGGGAGAGGGGACTGGCAAGGAGCTCAAGTTTTTGAAACTATTGAACTTGAGAGATTTGTGCCAAGGATCGCCCAATAAGAGCGCGTTTCATGCCCTCCCGTTAAAACAATTAAAACAATGTGGTGAGCTAATCTCCGTGACTGCCCAGATTAAAATAACAGCCTTTGATTGTCCTCCTTCTCACTCTCTTTTCTCCCATACCTCTGCTGCTGGCCCCCCACGCCCCTCATAAAGAGGGGGTGTGTCTCTGAAGGGTTTGTTTTATTAACAGGCGCCATATTTTATCCATGAACTGTCACAATGTGACGTTAATCTGAATCCTGCTCAACGAGGATCATTTCTGCACCGATCTGAGATACTAAATCCGAATAAAACACACACACACACACACACACACACACACACACACACACACACACACACACACACACACACACACACACACACACACACACACACACACACTCAAGGGCAAAAGAAAACTATTATTCATTTATTATCATCTGCAGCTCTTTTCATAGGAAAATTATTCAACCATTTAAATCACAAGTAAAAGATTTTTGGTAACACTTTACAATAACATCACTTAATGCATTATTATGATCCCCTTATTAACGTTCTTGATCAACTAATACGCAGTGGCGTGTCCAGATCTTATGGGGTGGCCCAGGTGAGGCACTACTTTGTGCATATGTGGCACCAGTGGTTATGCTTTTTTGTTTTACTTCAAGCCTTTTGTGGACAATGAAAGGTCTATTTAAAGGGATTTCAGTGTGGTGACACCTGGGGTGGCCAATCAGATTCCAAGGCCACTCCCTGGACACGCCCTTATGTGTCCTTAGAGTTAGGACAAAGGGCCAGAGGGAAACGTCTGCTTAATAATGCATTAATTAAAATAAAATGAATAATAAGCAGTTTTAAGGCTTATAGTTATTAATGCTTAATAATACACCAAGTAACGTTAATAAAGGGACCTTTATTGTAAAGTGTTACCAGCTTTTTTGTTCAATCAATTCAAACTTTTAGATTTCAGCCCCTCAAAAATAAAACCCGCCCACATGCAGCAGCTCCTTTGGGACTGAATGAAAGTTAAACAATTTGAGGAGAAAATTAAAGAACTATGAGAAAGAGCAGCAAATGTGTTTTTTTCCAAAGTGTTAAGAAGCTCTCTAATCATTTGGTGTGCATGTGTGTGTGTGTGTGTGTGTGTGTGTGTGTGTGTGTGTGTGTGTGTGTGTGTGTGTGTTTGTTAGGAAACAATGGATGAATATAAATTAAGTTTTCTGAATCTACTGATGCATGTCAACAGTTTTTTTTACTTCAGAGTCAGTCCACTTGCAGATGTCTATGCAGCCAATGAACACAATAATGATCACGTCTGTACATTTTCCAGACATTGAGCAACAATTGTGTTGGCAGCTGCACATACTCTGAATGCTAATGCATCACATGGGATCTTGTAGCATTGCACAAGATTATGCATCAAGTTTGGTTCAACAGCAAAGGAGCGTGATCAACTGCGACTAAAATAGTTTGCAGAATGGATGTTTTACACTGGAGTATAACTCTTGGGTGTGACATTAGATGACAGGCACATTCCGATCCTGCACTAAAATCAGATGAGAGTAAAACATAGATCTTGGTTTATTATTGAAATCCACAAATAAAGTTGTGTGATTTTAGGGTTCGGACCAGTCTTAATGCTCTGCTCATGTACAAACAACTCCTCAAACTTCTAAAATATGTGAAAATATTTTTGGTCTTTTTTATCCTCTGGCTTTTTCCTCCTCCTTTCACCGTTCTTGGCTGTCAAGCTGTATTAGTGTCCGATAGGAATAAGTCATTTAGAAGAGGCTCTGTCGGGCAGCCCCTCAGCCCCACTAAAAGCTCCAGGATTAGGTCCCAGAGGCCTTTGTCTCCGCAGCCCCCAGGATTAGGGGAGATTTACTGCGAGGAGAGAGAGAGAAAAAAAGTAGTTATTTCATGGCACTTTCATGATGAAACCTGGCCAAAGCTGTGTTGGCTGGGGGGATTAGAGCCATACAAAGAGTGTGCTTGTGTGTGACCCTCCCCGTCCCCGAACCAACATGGATCATTTACCCTTCTGCGGGCCAGCAGGGCTCGTCCGGGTTCCCCTACAATTCCCCACCAATATCATCAAAGTTCAATCGAAGCGAGTCATTTAGCTCCCCGGACCTCCTGGCCGCCTCGTCTTCAGATTCACAAATGAGGAGTTTTGCTAATCCGGAGCATGAGAGCACTAGTGTAGGAGTAATCACCAGTAAAAGTCTCCTAATAAGGACAGAAGTAAATGAGAAGTTAGTGGATTTTGGTCCCTCCTGCAGTGTTTGAAACCGATTAGAAGGAGTTATCCTGCTCTTAGAGGATCCTCTTACACATGCAGGGATTACAGTGGACAGAAGACAAAAGGCCGAGTCACAGTCCTGACAGCAGTCTCACCGCCGAGCAGGTGTTGTGCAGGTCTGCTAACTCATGTCACATAGCAGAGGGAATTACAGAGCCTGAAGAGTTCCGCTGAGAGTAAGACAATTACAGGAAGATGAGTCAAATCCAGCAGGGTGCAGATTAGGTCTCAGCGTAATTATTAAAGTTCAGTTTAACGACTTTTCTCCAGTATTCTCTTTTCCATCTTAGAAACTGGATATAAATAATCTAATCTAATGAAAAATACAGCTGGGAATGTCTCTCTTTAAAGGTGTGGAACACCCGTTTAATCAGTGCATTTGCAGTGGTCTCTAGTAGGAATGAAAGCCTTGTAAGTCATACTCTGGGGAAACAAAGCACTGGTGCACCTGTTTTACGAACTAGATATTAGCCGGACCACAGCTGAGCTTCAGACGACAGGATTTGGAGTCTTATTTCCTGATATTTGGGCATCTTGTCTCTGATTGGCTAACAGCAGCACAACTCTACCACTAGCCCTTTTTACAAGACACACCATGCCGGCAAATCGGCGTCATTTTACCACAACGATGTGTCTTATAAACGCGCCATGCTGGCATTGCACGGATTTTGCTTGATAGTAATAATGCGGCAATGCTCTGTCTTATAAATGGCTATTGTGCATGGCGCAACAGATCGTGGCTTCAATTGCAATAAAAGCAAATTATGTCCAAGAAAAATTAAAGTCCGCGGCATCGCAGAGACCACCCCCATGCCCTCTTCATGTCGCCATCGCCACCTATAAATGACTTAAGGGTCCCTGATGTTGACGGCATTGTTCTGTAAAAACGGCTACTGACTCTGTTGGCTTTGCAATGTTGATGTTTTTTCCCCACAAATAACTCAAGCCTGAAGGAGTCAAGCTGTGCGGTGGAGTTGCTAATGCTAACGGTTAGCTTCTGCTAGCCGAGACATTCTCTGCTGTTTCCTGGATGCTAAACCAACAACAGCATTCCCCGTTGCGAGTCAAGATGAGTGAGACATGAATATTAAGTGACAGTGTGATGTCACACGGTCAGGATTTTCAAATCCTAGAATTTCACCGTCTATTTACTATCAGAAGCTAATGCAGGAGACCACAGGAGTGTAGGAGACTATTTTCATGTTCGGCCTGCATGAAAAACTCAGAGTGACCAATTATAATCAGAAATAAGTTTTAAAGAATGTTTTTTCAGCTTTCTACACCTTTAAATTTTTTACGTTTTAGATTATTTAACTTGATCAAACTTTTGTTCAAGGAGACAAGTCAACCCTTTATGAGTGTGAGTAGGGCTGCAACAACGAATCGATAAATTCGATGAAAATCGATTACTAAAAGCGTTGGCAACGAATTGCGTCATCGATTCGTTGTGTCGCACAACTCTTCCAAAAGCGCCCCCCCTTCCCGCCCGCCGTTGCGCGCAGACCAGAGCAAGTCAGATCAGCGCGAGGGAGAGCCGCAGATCAGCGCGAGGGAGAGCCGCAGATCAGCGCGAGGGAGAGCCGCAGATCAGCGCGAGGGAGAGCCGCAGATCAGCGCGAGGGAGAGCCGCAGATCAGCGCGAGGGAGAGCCGGCAGATCAGCGCGAGGGAGAGCCGGCAGATCAGCGCGAGGGAGAGCCGCAGATCAGCGCGAGGGAGAGCCGCAGATCAGCGCGAGGGAGAGCCGCAGATCAGCGCGAGGGAGAGCCGGCAGACTTGAGCTGCTGCGAACCGGTTCCGCATTGTTGCACAGCGCTCCAGGCAGCTGCTTCCAGCGCACGGTCCATTCTCAAAGTGGCGCAACCAAAAAACTATAATTAGCACACGATCGTTCATGTCCGCACATGTTCTCTATTTTCTGTCTTATTTGTGCCTGAAGCGCGCTACTGCGGAGCTCATCACCTGTGCTGTGGTGATGTCACCTCACGCAGCATCGAAAACGCGCTCTGCGCTTTTCGGTCAGGAGATCCCTTTGATCTGCTCAAAAGTAACTGATGAGGTGAAAAGGTAAGAATCCAGGCAACAGATTTTCTGGAGAATTAAGAGGAGATGCAGGAAGATGAGAGACAGACAGGACAGGAAAATAGTTCAATAAAAACAAGAAAACAAAACAAAGTGTTGAAAAGTAAAATGTAGGTAGATTTATCTCCACTACACGTTTTTACCAGTAAAAAACAATAAGTTATACACATGTCATATTTATACATCTGATACAATTCAGATCACCTTCAAAACTCAGTCACACACCCAGGGCCGTTTCAAGACATTTTGGGGGCCAAGGCAAAATGCCCCCCCCAATAACTGGGCTCCCCAGAAGCCTCTGTGTAATTCATGCCCTCTCCAGTAGTGTTAGTTATACAGTGTTTATAAAAGCCCCTCAGACATTACTGACATGCTCTAATATTATCAGATGAAAAACTAAATTATCAGACATGCTGTCTCATCTGCTTATTTTATAAACTTGCAAAAAGTAACAAAACCATTTGAAAGCCACTATTTGTGGATTCTCTGAAAGTTTCCATGGAGTGTGTGACAACTTATTTTTTCATTGATCCTATCGTCTAATCTCACAGTTGAAACAAGCATCCTTAATAATCTGTGCACAGGAAGCTTACCGATGCTGTAGTAAAACAAAAGGTATAGTAATTTATTATTAATAAAACCTTGTTGCAACACTAAAGCAGAAAAATTAGATTTTGCATTAAATATGCAAAATATTTACATATGAATTGTTTTAGAGCCCTTTAATTGGCAGAATCTGATATTAATTTAGTTCTTACAAAAAATGGGTCCCAACATGGTTTGTGTGGCGTTGCCATAGTGTGATGTCATAGGCACAGATCCCCTGTCCTCT